TATCATTTATAAATACTGTAACTATAATAATAACAATTCCCACGCGTTATAAATCCAGTTATGTATTATTCATCGCAAATAAATTAAATGCAGCAGACACAGACCATGTACGGTCCAATTTCGGACCGAGTCAGCCATGTATTTTAGGCATTTTTTACGTAATCTGGAGTAAAACTGGTTGTGGCAAACTGTGTCAGTTTTATCATTCAAGCCTTATTTGCACTAGTTGTCCTAGTAATATTTTGTGAATGTTGTGTAACAGTGGTTCCTATTCCACATATTGATATTAAGCAGATGTAATAAGAGAGCGCCCTCACACGTGTGTGTTTCTTGTAGTTGCTAATGTTAGGTCTGGCATTGATATTTCCCATATAGCTCATAACTGTGCCCCGAGGTATGGAGCTGCATCGGAAATGAACGGTAGGGTGTTTTACGGGAAAAATGATGAAGGATATTAAAACGCGGTTCCACCAGTTATTGAACTCCTGTGAACATCTGAAGGACAGGCAGCGAACAGTTCACCACAAGATATCGCTGCGGGCCAAACATCTGGCCGAAATGAACGAAATCCTAGATGAATTCCTAAAAGATGATTCTGATCTGCTTACCATCAATTGCGCCGTTTACGCTGCAGCCAGGTTATTAGTAACCCCAGCCCCGTTTAGGGTGGCAGAAAAAGTTGAGCAGCAAACAAAACGTCTGGACGCGAAGTTAAAGTTGGAAAGGCAACTGGTATCCAGAATTCACTGCGTGATTGAGTATGTAAACTCTGGTAGGAGATTTACCACCAAGCTGAGGCTTATCGCCCGCTCTCTCAAGGCCAAGTATCACACACTGAACAAGAATACGCTGCTGACCATCAAGCAGCACTCTCTGGACAAAATACGGGCACTAACCGCGGACAGGAAGAAGTTAGTGAAACGTTATAGGGCCGTAAAGGAGAACACCATCTTTCGTGTATGCCCTTCCCGTCTCTTCAGCAAGAACACTCCAGTCGTTCATACCCCACCAACAGCAACGCAGGTCGAGTCATTCTGGAAGAAACTCTACGAAACTAGATTTCCGTTGAACAT